GGGGGCCCTCACATCCTCTGGGAAGGGTCCTGGCGGGGAGGGGATGGGGGGGCTCTCACATCCTTCTGGGAAGGGCCCAACTGGACGAAATGACACGGCCCACACAGGGGACCAAGAACCACGGATTATCAGTGGTAATATTACGTACTCGACCCCGCCTTCTCAATCCCCACGTCAGGACTGTTTATTTAGGGCACAAGTGTGTGGATTTCAAAGGCAAACCCCTGCGGCTTCAGGAAGCCATTGCAGAAGGGCGGGAAGGATGCGGAGGTGACGAGGATTGTGTGCAGAGACCTGTGTCCCCCATGGCTCTGAGCCCCTAAGTGATCCTTGCAAATCTCCCAGCATTCTCTGAGAGCTTGCTAACGGCGAGCATATTTAATTTCTCCCAAATGCAACCTTACTGCAATCTTTCCATTTTTTGTTCACTCCTTAACGGAACCGGAGGAACAGAATGGGCCGTAAAAATACTACACTCCGTTCACGGAACACTACCCAGTTTACAAAGCGCCTTCCGAGGTGGGTGTTCTCACTGTACCACGAGGCTCCGGAACCCAAACGACGCTCCCAGGGCCCGGCACCTGTTCAACCAGGTGGGCGCCCACTGTCTCTGCCACCAGAGTGGGGCTTTGGGTCTGGGAGGGGGGTGACGAAGGAGGAGACGTGGCCTGCACGCACGTGGGACTTTATTACGGGGCCACGTGCACAGCACGACACAGCCCTGGCCCAGCTCTGCCTGGGGGGCCGAGGGTCTCCACCAGCCGGTGGGGCCGTAGGCCTCAGAGCAGGGAGGGCAGGGAACCGGGCAGGGGTGGGTGGGGCGCCAGGGAGGGAGGGGTGCGGACAGTGGGCTTTGCTTTCCTCCACTTCTCCTTAGAGACGTGCGGTGGGTTTCTCAGTGCGCCCGTGTGTCGGTGCCGTCCTGGGAGCCAGGAGGGCCCCCCACCCGCAGCAGGACGAGGGCCCGGGCGTGCAGATGTGGATGGTTGTACCAGGCTGTCCCCACCGGGGTGGGGCTCCGGTGGCCCCGGGAGAGGGCGGAGGGGCCGTCCGGACCCCCAGGCTCAGGCCCCTCCGCCTCCGTGTCCACTGCCCGCCCAGGAGCACACGCACCCTGGGGGATGCGGCGTGTTGAAGCAGCAGAGGTTCTCGGAGTCGGGAGGCTGTCCGCCAGGGGCCGGGAGGAGCCCAAGGAAAGGGCAGGGGGCCTTGGCACCGGGGGCCAAGGGCACATTAAACAAGAAGGAGCAGGCCCTTGGGGGGGCGGGGGTGGTGGGGGGCCTGAGAACACCCTGAACACGCAGAAGCTGAGGGACGGTGTTAGCTGGGCTCAGGCCTCGGGTGGGGGGCTGCCGGGGTCCCCAGGCCCAGGGAGACGCGGGGCCTGCGCCGGGAGCCAGCCCTGGGAGGGCGCACCAGAAGCGCCTGGGCCCCCTCGGCCCTCTGCCTCACCTGGGAAGCTCGGGCAGCCCCCGGCGGTGGGGCCCTGCGTCCAGCGGCCGTTGAACAGGACCAGGTTCCATTTGTGCAGCTGGTCACCGCTCAGGGAGTCCGGGGACAAGCTGCAGATCTGCAGCCGGGAGAACTGCCTCGAGAAATCCGAAAATGACATCCTGGGGGCGGAAGAGGCAGAGGGCTGGGGGTCAGGAGAGCAGGGCTGAGAGGAGAGAAGGGGGAGCCTGCGGGCAGGACAGAGGGGCGGCCGCGGCCGGCTCTGACCCTCTCTGCACCCGCGGGGCTGCTGTCCGAGTGCCTGCCACTGTCAGCGCCTCCGTTTTATCGGGGAGCCCCCCCCTCCGCCCCCCGGCGCGGTAAGGACCAGGCAGAGACCCATCTGCATGCGGGTGCTGCCTCCGGGCCGGCCACTTGGGAGCCTGAGCAGGCGTCCTCCGACCTAACTCCAAGCAATGACTTGCAGACCCGTCCCCAGGCCACGTCACGTTCATGGCGTCCCTGTCACCTGCCTCCGCCCGCCATGAGGGAGTCCCCCTGCCTCACTGCTAAGCCCAGCTTAGCGCTCTGCCCGATGAACGGATGCGGGAACGTGGGAGGACAGACCCAGACAGTACGTCTTCGATGCTACGACACGCAGGAAGGGGGATAAAGGGGGGAAGAACAGCCCCCGAGGAGACCCTGTCGCATTCCCGAACATTCCCTCAGACGGCACTCACCAGAACTCCCCGTCCTCGGCTCTCTTGTCCAGCTCCTCCTTCCGCCTGGGATCGATGTGTTTCCACTCTGGTGCACTGGTGGAAATCATAAAATTAGTTTTTTAAGTTTATTTATTGGTTTTGAGAGAGAGAAAGAGTGTGAGTGGGGGGAGGGGCAGAGAAGGAGACAGAGTCCCAAGCGGGCTCCGTGCTGTCCGCGCAGAGCCCAACGCTGGGCTCGATCTATGAACCTGAGCCAAGATCAAGGGTCCCACGCTTAACCAACGGAGCCCCCAGGCCGCCCTGAAATACTTTGAATCGAAGCAGAGGTGGTCGTCTAAGCAAGGTCACCTGCAGGGCACGCTGTTTAGAATAGACAGATGTCCCCCGAGGGCCACAGACAGACGGGAGCTGAAGCCCAACAGGCAGAGGCAGAACAGACAGTGGGGGCGGGGGGCACGCGCCTGGGACAGGACGCCGGCCGGGGACACGGACCCCACGGCACCTGCAGGGCGACCCCAGTTGTGCGGCAGGGACTTTGCCCTAAGTTCACTCTCGGGCCCCTTCCCGTGTCTGACTGAGGCTCCCGGTCCGGAGGACAGGAGGGTCGAGAGAAGAAGCCTGCGGAAGCTGGTCAGGCATGCAAGCCCGTGGCCACGCCCCATGGCCACGCCCACACCCGGCCACACCCCGGTCTACACCCGTGTCCACGCCCACACCCACGTCCACACGACTCTCCACACCCACACTCCCTGGCCACACCCCTGTCCACACCCGCGTCCACACCCACACCACACCTGCACCCACAGCCCCGGCCACACCCCTGTCCACGCCCGTGTCCACACCCACATCCACGCCCACGTCCTTGCCAGGTCCCCGCCTGCACCCTCACCTGCGCCCACGCCTCCGCTCGGAGTTGCCCCAACCTCTGAGAGACCGAGAGCCGTCAGGCAAGGAGCCGGGCTCAAACAAGCCCTCCGGCCAAACAGCCGTCGGCCAAAACGGCCCAAACTCGGAGCTTCGGTTCGTTCGGTTTCTGCCCTTTCTGGGCCGTTGACAGAAGGGAGGTTTTGGGTTTTGCTCAGGCTCAGGCAGGGGCATCAGAATCTGTGGCCCCAGGGACACCTGTTTCTGGTGGCGCACACCTGAAGGGAGGCAGGCAGGTGGGCACTGGTGACGTGTGGCTGCACGTGCCAAAGGCCCCCCAGAGCCCAGCGCGATCGCGGAGCTCGGACAGCACGCAGCTCCCTGTCCCTCACCAACGTTAAGGACGCACGGACAGCACACGGCTCCCCCCCCCCACCAGGTTGAGGACGCACAGACAGCACTCAGATCCCTGCCCCCCCCCCCCAGGTTAGGACGCACTGAGAGGAGGGAGGTGAGTTCATTCCCATTTCCAGTGGCTCCTCGTCCAGGGCGGGAGGCCTGCCTGAGGGGAGCCTGTCCGGTCCTTCATGACCTTGCCGGAAGGACCAATAGGGGTCCCATGGTGAGTGAGAGCCTCGCTCTCGTCCACCCACCACTGCCTGCTGGCCCTTGGGGGTGGACCCCACTTCCCAAGCTTGGCCTTTGTCAGAGACCAGGGTCTGTGGGTTGGGAGGCGTCGACCTGAGGGTCTGGCCTCCCTTGGGGTCACCGCGGTGTGGCAGTTGGGAAACAGGCAAACTTCAGTGACAAGCAGAATTCCAACCCAGCTGCCAGATCTGCAAACGCCAGGCAGAGACCCCACCACGTGCTGTGAGCTGTGCCTTCCCAGCCCGGAGCCACGCAGCACGCTCTGAACAGGCTGCTCGTGGACAGAAAGTGCCGCGGTGCTCACGGCGCTTTTGGTCTCAAGAGGACCGTGTCGCGAGCCGCCCTTGCAGGGGGAGGCGAGGACGGAGAGGGAGAGCCTACCTGTCGCTCCACGCCCCCGTCCACTCCACTTCGCCCCACGGGTTCCGGAGTCTGACCAGCTTCTCGGGATGGCCCCAGAAATCCACCTGCAAGGTCCCCGCGCGCGCGAAAGCACCTGAGCTGCTGTGTCCGGGCTGCCCCACCCCCACGTCTGCCCAGAGGGGGCTCCCACTCAACTTTCAATGCCCCTAAACAACCACACCCTTATTTTAACACATTTTCAGGATGCGGCCAACTGCTCTGTTTTCCACAATTGGGTTGGACACGTAGTGTGTCTAACAAGTTGGTATCGGCTGGAACGAACCTAACGGTGACAGGCGCCCTCCAGACAAATGCCAGCAGCATGGCAGTCAGCACTCACGGAACATGTGCTCCGGACTAAGCAGGGCGCTAAGCGGTTCAAGGGCGTTATCACCTCATTTAAACCTGATGGGGGTCCTACGAGCTGGGCTAGCACCTGTATTTTGCAGCTCAGAAATCCTAGACTCAGAGGGTTAAGTTATCCAGGGTCAGCAGGTGGTGGAGGGAGGGTGGGCATCTGGGCAGTTGTCTCCGAAGCCCACACCTCCTGCCTCCCTGGTGGTTACTGAACACTCACTAGGAGCCCTCATGCCAGTATTTGCATCCGCACACACCGACACGACGAATCATTAGGACCTCGGTGTCCTGCTTTCCTTTGTATCTCCCGTGACACCCAGCCCTGTGCTTACACATTCACGCTCCATCTGTACTGGAGAACTGGCTTCACTAAAGAGGATATTTGTGGGACACAAACGCATGCAACGAACACCTGTTTCATTTTAATAAATAACAAAAACTGAGATACCCATCGCATTTCCCTTTTTGCCTTGGCCAGCGGGAAACCCAAAGCAAAATTCATTTCTCAACGGTAGCACTGTCTTTTGCCTGGATTATCTGGTGTGTTTACCCTCGTGCTATGGTTTGACAGTGTCTGTGCTTTTCTCTGTAAACAACTGCAAATCCTTTTTAGGGAAGTGGGCAGAGTCCAGTAACTAAAAATACTGAAAACCACAGCCCCTGCTTTCTGCTCGGGTTGGAGAGTAGGGAAAACCTGTGCTCCTTCCCGCTGTTACGCCCCGTCCTGAGAGCAGACATCACTGCCTCTATCCCCTTCGGGGTCGTGCGGGTTTCCACCCCTTCACCTGTATACACACGCTTGGGATGAGTGTGGAATCTGACAATTTCCACACTTTCTCCAGGGCCTTCCCCCACCCCCGCCCCCCAGGCCGCATCTCCTCAGAGCCCACGGGGCTGTGGCTCACACAGGCCACGTCATCCACAAGGCCAGAAGGGCCATTGCTGTGAGTGTCAGGGGCAGCCGGAGAGGGACCTCGGGGGGGGGGGGGGCAGGGAACCTCTCAGAGGTGGCCCCTCTCAGGGTGCCCTGGGCACGTGCAGTCTCCCCTCCCCTCCCCGGTTCTACCTCTTCGACGCCAGTGACCGAGTACGCGTGGCTCTTCACCAGCTTCTGGGAGGTTGTGGTCTCTGCTTCTGCCTCAGCTGCACTGGAGACCTGAGGGGGAATGAGGACCCTGATCCTGACCCTGTCCGGGTGGCCCCTACAGGGCTTTCCAAGGACACGCCGCCCAGACGGGCCCCATGCGGTGCTGGGGTGCAGGTGCAGCAGTGACCTCAGGGAGCAGAGCCCTCCCCATCCCGCCCCTCCAAGCAGGCGCACAGCTCCACGCTCACAGCCTCCAGATGCCCCCGAAAACTGGGGCGTCACCTGCTCCCCGAGGGTGACCCCGTGCCGCCGATCCAGGACGGCCGCTCTGAACAAGCCTGGTTCTCCCCCCTTTCTCTCCAGGCCCTGCACCGTCTCTCCACCAAAGACACACTAATGCAGAGACGTTGCGGAAAAGTGCGTCAGTCCGTCCACGCCGCCCCAGGGCCGGGACGGCCAGCACCCTGGTTCCAGAACCGCTTCCCTTTTCCTCAGGGGTCCCAAAGCCCGTCGAGTATGTCCTAAATCTGTTTCCTAAAGCCCACGGTTACTCAGCAGAGAGGGGGGAGCACAGGAGGGAGCTGGGATCCGGGAGCAGATCTCCGTTCTCAGGGCTGCTCCCCGGTTACTAACTCCTCATGGGAGCCCCCGTTCTACCCACTAACCAGGTCCCAACCCGCCCCCGCGTGCTGGGACCCATGTGTCACCAGACTTGCCCCTTCAGCCCGGATGCTGCTCTGGCCCAAAGCCTCCTGGCCGCTCGCCTGCCCAGCCCCTCCCCTGCCGCACGAGGGGAACAGAGGGGCCCGCACTGACTCACATCAATGGAGCAGGCCAGCAGAGACCCCGCACGAAGGGCCTTCCGGATGATCAGAAACAGGCCGGCCGGAGGCTTCCTCAGGTCGTAACACTCACAGATGCCGCCTGTGAGATCCTGCAACCCCTGCACCAGACACCCTCCGGTGAGAGCCTCGTAGGAGCCGTTGAGCCTGTGAAAGAAGGAAAGAACGCGCCATTCACAAGCGAGGGGGCCGTGGGGGCAGAAGGTAAGGGAGGGCCCTCTGCCGAGTTTGCTCTGGACCAGCAAGGTGCAGGAACGAATGTCAGGTCACCTGTCACCAAGCCGCCCACCTGCCCCTTTAAAAGCAAAGTTCAGCCTCTGCACAGCTGACCCTGGGGGCAGGGAGCACAGGCAGGGATGAGGGGGCCCCTCCCTCAGGCTGGGAGTCCCCCCAGGCGCCTGCTCTGGGAAGAGGGCTGGAGGAATGGCGCTGGAGGACAGGGAGCCAGAAAGTGACACGCGTCAGATCCCACGTGGGGAGCCCACGGGAAGGGGGGGCGGCCGCAGGGCAGGGGTCAGCATCTAAGTGCCCCGTCTACTCGTCCTCATCACTCCTGTAAAAATACGCCTGGACCTGGAAGGGAGCGTGGGGCCCAAAGAGGACAAAACTAGGCACCGAGGCTGAGGGGCTCACCCCCGATTCATGCGGTCACGGGGGACAGAACTGAGCCGTGACCTCCTGGCCCTGAGGTCTGTTCCTCTGGCTCCTGGGTCACTCACTTGGCGTAGGCCTTCTCCAGCAGGGCGCCCCAGAACTCGCCGCCCGTCCCGGAGCGAAGGAACAGCAGCTCCCCGTCCTCGGTGGGCAGCCTGTCGTCCACGACCACGTCCACCCACTCGCCGTACCGCCAGAACTGCGGGCGCACAGACACGGGGCAGCGCCCCCCCCCCCCCTGAGCTCCCAGCTCCCGCAAGGGCGGGCCCTGGTCTTCCGCACCCACAAGAAAGCAGGAAACGCAGGAGGCACGAATTGCCCGCATGGCGCAGCGGGCGACCGGACCCCGCGCCCTGGGACCCTCCCCCAAAGGGGCTTCCTCCTCAAGGCCACACAGCCGGGGAGCGCGGATGCGTGGGGGCCGCAGTTCTCAGACCCAGGGGCACGCCAGAAGCCCCCGGGGGGACCGCCGGGCCCCCGGCCCCCCGCAGATTCCGTGGGTCTGGGCGGGAGCTGCTCCTGGGCCACGCGGTTTGCACAGTGAGAACGGCTCACGCGTGGACTGTTTTCGATAAATACAGCACAGTCCTGAAAATGTGTTTTCTCTTCCTTATGATTTTCCTAGTAACATTTTCTTTTCTCCGACTTACTTTATTCTGGGAACACAGTGTGTAATACACGTAACACACAAACTACGTGTGAATCGACTGGTTACGTTATCGAGACGGCTTCAGGTCGACAGTAAGTTAAAAGTAGTGACATTTGGGGGGGTCCAACGTCATCCACAGATTTCCGGCTGCACCCCAATCCCCACGCTGTTCAAGGGCCACGAGCAGAGCACAATACCTGGAAATGAAAGATCCCCGCGTAGTTTTGCTGGAAATCCTGGTCTCTGGGGACAACGCGGTAAAGCAGCTCTTCGTTCAAGGTGAGGGAGGCCAGGGCCGCCAGGAGCCAGCAGTCACCTGCGCCGTGACACGGGGACGCTGGTCAGGCCGGCCCGCAGGGTCCCTGCCCTCTCTGACCCTCACTGTCCTGTTCAGTCCACCCTTCAGGGTCGGATGGACCCTGGGGTCACGGTGGCCCCTGCACCCTCCCTGGGAGTCCTGGGAAGTTCTCTGCTCCCCCCGCATCCCTGAAAATTGACCGTTTCACCTCCACGCACCCAACTGGTGGGGTCGACAGTGGAAAGACAGAAAACACACGAACGTGACCCACATCTCCAGCTTTCCTCCTTCCTCTCCTACCAAGAACCTGACCTCCGGTCAGACTCGGATGTGCACGAGCGTGCCCTCGCCTCCCCCTGGGTGGCTGACCCCTCGGTCCCTGGTCCCTCTGCCTGCGAGTCGCTGCAACGCCCCCGCCCCCTCTCCAGCCACACGTCACTCTGTTCCGTTGTGTTTCCCGAAGAGCGTATCTAAACCGCTCTGTGCACCTCGGGGTCACGGTCAGCACCCAGTGTGGACCCAGAGCTCCTTCTGCACGGCAGGTGCTCAGCCGAGGCATGACCCCGCCTCCCCCCTCAGGTGGCGCACCCTCCTGGAGCCCCAGCAGGGATGTGGATTCCTTGTCTGGCATCCCCCCCGCAGGTGGCTGACCCATAGTAGGGGCTCAATGAGTGTTCGACAAAAATAAATAAGCAAGTGACAGAATGAATGAATGGATTACATCTTGTCCTTGTGCAAATCCCCAGGAGCACCTTCCGTGTTTGCTCCAGTCTCCCGGGTCTGTGGGGAAGCGAGGCCCCAGGGAACATGCTCTGGGCCCACAGATCCCACCTCCGCCAACGTCGGGGCCTTTGCCCCTAAACCTGGGGGCAGGGGGAGATAACAAGGGAAGTCACCCTGGCCTGTGCCCCCGGGGAGGGGTTGACAGGGTGGCCACTCCAGGAGGCAGGTGCCCTCACGGCCAGGCGCGGCCCCCCCCCCCCTGCTCCCTCTGGCACTGAACTTGCTCCCGGCTGCCCGCCTCCGACACCTCAGACATTACAAGTCAAGTCACGGAAACTAAGCGTCCCTCAGTGGCTGACATCAAACGGGGCTGCCCAGCTCGAGGAGGTTAATCTTCCTTTCATCTGCCTCAGTCCTGACGTCTCGCGGGGCCCCCCCTCGTGCTCGCGCAGAGCTCGGAGTGCACGTGGTGGGTTCACAGGCTCTGGGCTTCCAACCAGCCCCGGTCAGGCGTGAGCGGATGCTCTTTCTAAGGAACACGCCGAGCCAGGATGTTCCCCTTCGAGAGGCTCCTGGGGGGACATGTATTCTGTTGCTCAGAACTTTCCAGCACTTGTTTGGGGACCTGCCTTGAAGCCGGGGCCACATGAATCTCAAGAGGGACACGGCTGTGATCTGTGGCCGTGTTCCCATTTCCAGAAGCAGCCACAAGGCTTCGGTGACGAACAAGGCGGGCGGGAAAGAGGGGGAAATTGTGACGGACAAGTCCTCCTCGCCAGCCACCTTCCAGCAAGGTCCGGCCGCAGGAGGGGCAGAGTTTGGAGCAACGAGGCGGCTGGAATTGGGGGGTCCCGGGTCTCTGACCTCAGGGGAAGTCGGGGGCACCTGAGCTTCATTCCTCCCACTCTTACTCAGGTTATACTGTAAGGGGGCTAATGTCTATTAAAATAACAAAGTGATTTTTTTATCCCACCGAAATCAGGACTCCCGGGAGCCCTCCACCCCTGCAGCCACGGGCTTCAGGGCCACGAAGCAGCAGGCAGACCCGAGCAAGCCCTAACGATGAGGCGCTCTGTCAAAAGAGGCTCTAAGTCCGCGAAAAGACAGCCATCCTGAGTCAGGCTTTTGACACAGAAGTCGCTAAATCAAAAATTCCCTTGACACATCAGCGTCAAAGCCTGAGGTCTGAACACCCAGGGTTACTGTGTTACTGTGAACCTTGCGTGTCAAGAACTCAGACACCGAGGGAGAAGGGGGGCAGCGTCTGGGCCACGGGCAGGGAGGAGGTGGGAGGAAGGACAGAGAAAGGTGAGGTGCCGGAGCCCCTGCAGGGGCCCCTTCAAAGCTGAACAGCAGGAACCAGAGTAAAGAGCAGAAGGGCTGAGACAAAGCCACAGCAGGGGGCGGGCCCCCCGGGACTCTGGGAACAGGATGCACAGAGCCTGGGAGTGGGGGTGGGGTGGAGAGGAGGGAGCCAGCCCAGCCACCGGGACGCCCCCTGGGAGCCGGGAGGGAACAAGGCAGGTGAACCCCCGCCCCCCAGAGCTGTGGTGGCTGCGGGGTCGGGCGTGGGAACCCCGGGCTGTAGCAGAACGGGCTCGAGGGTACAGAGTCCCACGTCCGGGGACCAGCCCAGGGACCACACTGGCACCAGCCAGCCTGTGATGCTCTGACGTTTATAGTAATGAATGACAATCAGTCTCGGACCTGTTTCTGGGCTCAGGGCTCAGGAAACCCAGTGTCACTCTTCGGTTATGGTAACCCAGGCTGAAGCAGTGGGAGACACTGTCACTCACTCTATTGTTACGGTAATGAGGTGGCTTTGAAAGCTCCCAGGGGAACGGAGCCCTCAGTCCCCCTCTCCCACCCCGGGCAGGTGACCTACCTAACTGGTTGCCAGGGGAACAACGGAGCCCTCAGTCCCCCTTCCTGGCCCCTGCCGCCCCCCCCCCCCCGCGGACCTGGGAGCCCATCATCCCCCAGCAACCAATGATCCTATCCATCAGGCGTCTGTCACTGGTGCACACATGCAGATTCGGGGAGACCGGCGCCCCCGCCCCGTCCCCACTTCACCCTGCGCCTCTCCCCCGTCACTGTTCGTGAGGTGCATCCTCTTCTAGGAAACCAGCTCCAGCGAGTAAAATGCTTGCCTGCGCAGTGAGAGCCGCTCCGGCACATTGACCCAAGGAGGGGTGGTGGGACCTTCCCACCCACAGCCAGTTGGTCAGAAGCACAGGTCAAGCACAGGACTTGAGCCTGGTGTCCGAGGCGGGGATGGTCTCGTAGGGCTGAGCCCGGGGCTGGTGGGTCTGACGCCACCTACACAACGTCAGAACTGAGTTGGATCACAGGACGGCCCGTGGGTGTCGCAGAACCGCCCGGGGGAAAGGCCACACACGGGGCCGCAGTCAGAAACTCGTGGCCCTTCTCCCCCGCCCAGGGGACGGTTGGCCTTCCTTGTGTTCAGGCGTCTCGGGGAGGCTGGGGAGGGGGTGGCCTTTATGAAGCAAGAAAGCGCCCCCAAAAGGGCGACTGAATGAGGAGCGTTGGCCCAAAAGAGATGGGAGCCCCTCAGAGACAGGGCGGAACCCTTGTAATCGGACGGTCTGCGTTCCCCCCCCCAACTCGTGGTCAGGGAGCCAGGGTCCCGCTGAGAACAGCGCAGGGCGTGGAGGGCTTTGTGCCACCTTGTAAAAGTCCACCTTCAAGACTCGACGGCGGCCGAGGCCTCCGCCTGCCGGGCCGTCACCAGCCGGTGCTGCTTTAGCTCTGCCTCTGGCGCAAAGCCGACCGGGCCTCCTCCCCTCCGCGTCTGGTGCCTTCCAGGCCTCCAGCACAGTTCCCAGCCTCCCCCGGCTCCCCCAGTGGAGGCGGGCAGCGGGCCCGGACGCTTTCGCAGACCCCAGGATAAAATGCTACCTGAATGAAATCCCGTGGGTCAGCACGAAATTGTCCGAAGTGATTCGAAAACCCGTGTGTTGATTACTGGGGAGAAGGTCTCACGCCTTAGCTGTTGTGCAACGACATTGCACACGGGGAGGGCGGAGACAGCCAGGTAAGACCAGAAGCAGACGTGGGTCTCTGAGCCCCTGTATCCTGAGTGAATCCCGCTGTGTGTGACAGAATGCTCAGCCCACCCCAGGCCACGGTGATGACCCTCACCGCCCCCAGACATCGCACACGTCCCCGGGGTTGGGGGAGGGGCATGCTGGCACGGGGAGCGGGGGGGCTGACAAGCCAGAGCCCCACGGGAGGGGTCTGCGCTGGAGGGAGGTCGGACAAGACAGCCTGATGTGGCTCTGTGGCAACACGTCCCTGGTGGTGACAACGATCCTTCTAACCCTGTCACTACAGAGTTTTCCGGGAGCCCCGCTCCACTCCCCTGCTCCTCCTCTCCCTCTCGCCGCTCTGGCTTGGTGCCCAGGCCAGCAGAGGGGTCTCGTCTCACCCGGGTGCCCACGTGAGACGCCGTCACAGCAGGACCCGTCTCGGGCCCAGCCGCATTTGGGAACGTGGCCTCGTGGCCTCCTGCAGGCCCTCCGAGCCCCGTAATTATACCGTTCTTCTTTCCCTCCAAGGCACGCTGATGCCAGCCCTCACCCCAGCAAGCAGAGACAAAGCCAGACAGTTCCAAACCTCGGAGTCACCAGGTGACCGGGTCCCCAGAGCCCCGGCCTCCTCTGGGGCCAGCCTCTGCCCCACGGACACCTCTCTGCCCTCTCCCAGGCTCTGCCCAGAGCCCAGATGCCCGGCAGCCTGGAACACATGGCAGCTGGGACACGGCCTCGGGCGTCCCCGGCTCCTGTTCACCCTGGTCATCGTCACCTGCTCCCTGACCACACTGCCACTTGGTCGCGGTATCTGCCCAGGCGGGCTGGGCGGTGCAGGGGCCAGCGAGTGAACAAGTCAGCAGTGCCTGCGCCCCGAGGGACCCGAGCGGGAGCCTCTGTGGACATTCTGGGCCCTTACGGTCACAGGGTGAGAGTCCCAGCCCCCCTCCAGGAGGACGCACCTGTGGGAGATTCCCGCCCTCAGGTTGGGGGCCCTGCTCTGTGTGTCACCACCAAACCCCACACTGTGGGGGACAGTCTGCAGGACACTGGGACCAGAGATTTGAGAATCGGTCCCTACAAGCTCAGAAAAGCAGAAATAACGTGGGTTCGGACTTGTCTGCTGAGCCACCTGCAGCCCCCACACAGTTAACTCCTGTGGTCCTGGGTTTTCTGATCTGTAAAATGGGTTTGTACCTCCCGATTCACTGCACAGGATCATCTGGCACTGAGCAAAAAGGACTTACTTGTAACAAGAGGAATATTTAAGAATCCATATGAATATAAATCCCTAGCTGGCAGAGGGGATCGGGACATAACAGGTGCACGCACGTGCAGGGGTTAACAGCAGACGTAACGTCCTCAGGGTACCTCGACCCCGACCCCATCCACAGATACAGCTTCTGGGAAGGCGGGTGGGGATCAGTGGGAACAGGGGCTCCAAGCTCAGAGCAAGGAGGAGGTGCCGGGGGGCTGCGTGGGCACAGGGACCGAGAGCCCACAGGCACGGGGACCGAGACGGAAGCCGGTGAGGAGGGACCATCTGCACGGACCCAGCGGCCTCCAGCCGGCGAGGAGGAGACAAGCCCTGGGAGGGCAGAGATACCTACAAGGCCTCCCGTGGCCTCAGCAAAGCACAAGAGGCCAGGAGCGTGGTGCCCGAGGCGCGTGGCGGAAGAAGGCCCAGGCGGGAACCGCGCCCACCGCAGACATGCCCTGCCGGGTGCGGCCAGACCAGCCCAGCAGCATCGGGGGCAGGAGACGGGAGGGGGACAGGCATCTAGAAGACCAAGCGATTACCCCGGACGGACTCTCTCTGCTAGTGGACCAGACAAAGTTCTACGCTGGCCTCGGTGAGCGTCACTCCCCAGCCCCTGGGCAGGGCTCCTGGGGGGCCGGGGAGCCTCGGGCCTCAGACCCAGTGACCCCAACGGAGCTGAGCAGCATCTCTGCCCGTGAGGGATGGATAGAATAATGTTTCTAAATGCATAACATGAAAAACAGGACATCATAAACTGTATCGAAATCGTTATTAAAATGTTTTTTCAATTATGACACAGGAAGGTTTGTGTTTCTTTGTCAACGTTCGATGTAAAAGGTTTGGGGTGGGGCCTGGTGACAGCTTAATTACGAGGTGGTAAATGAGTAGAAATTGAAACGGTATTTTGAGGTATTTACAGCCACTGTGATGTGATCCGCGGCTGCCACTGCTGCACATCTTTGCCTGCAACCATTCCGACCACACAGGACACACAAATCCTCCTGTAACCACTGGCTCAGATTCATACTAACGTGTAAATGACTGTCCTGGGCCCCTTCCTCAGAGTAGACGGGATATTGTGATAGTGGGTCCGAGCGCAGGGGCACTGAGCACTAGGTATCAAATGGAGGGAAGGGGGACCACCCTAAGTAGGAGAAGGCCCCATTGGCAAAAGCGAACCTCGCCCTCCTCACCCAGGCCTGGCTGCGGGAACGGCCATCTGCGGCTGAGCGCTTCCTGGAGGCCTGACCCGCACCCACCAGAGTCTGTGAGGGGTCTGGCTCTCTACGTGCTGAGGCCGCCTGGTCGCCAGTCCTGATGAACTGACTTACTTCGCGCCCTCCTCAAAGGAGGCCACAGATCTAAGGCGTCCCGGAGAGCGTTTTAAGGATGGAGACACCAGTCCGCTGTGGCCCCCTCGCGGGAGCGCCGACTCACGCGGAAAAATCCATGAGGGGAACGCATCAGAGAAGGAGCCGGGATTTAGGACCTGTTGCTCGTTCTCTGTGGAGACGTGGGGAACGGGCCACCCACGCCCCCTTCACGAGAACACAGGGCCTGACCCGGAAGAAAGACAACCAGGAAGAAAGGACAGCGATTCCAGGGAGGTGCGGGGAGCGCCCGGGGAGCCCACGCCCACGCTCAGCGCCCACGCCCGCTGCCAGGCAGAGAGGAAGCAGGGCGGAGGCCCCAGAGCCACCAGGGCCTCGTAGGGGGCCCTTCTCCCTCACCCTGCTCCGCAGCAGCAGTCGTGATTCGGAAACCATTCTAATTCCGGGGCGCCAGGGGCTCGGTCGGCTGAGCACCCAGCTCCTGGTTTCAGCTCAGATCGTGATCTCACAGTTTGTGGGTTCGAGCCCCACGTCGGGCTCTGCGCTGGCAGTGGGGACTGTGTTTGGGAGTCTCTCTCTCCCCCTCTCTCTGCCCCTCCCCCACTTGTCTTCTCTCTGTCTCTCTCAGAATAAATAAATAAACCTAAAACAAAAAACAAAAGGAGCGATCTAATTTCCCTCTGGACTCCGGAAGTCTCTGCTCCCCATTTGCTGAAAGCAGCGAGCGTCAGAGCCCACTTGGCGGAGACGTCTGCCCCATAGTCGCGGTCGCGGAGCCCCTCAGGGGCCCAGAACGGGCGCTTCCTGCGCTCCTGGCCCGTGGCGCTGGGGGCTGGCTAGCATCACTCGCTTCCCAGCCTTTATTCTCCTAAAACCGTGCCTCCAGAGAAGGCCAGGCCCCGGACCGGAGGTGAGCCCAGAGTCTCCGCTGGGCGCGGAGCGGCTCACGCCTCCGGGAGGCAGGCTCGGCCCGGCGGGCGGCAGATCGGCGCCCCGCGGACTGAACCTGTGGTACCGCAGGCCCAGGGACAGGCACCCACGCGCGACAGGGCCGAGGAAGAAGGACATCCGCTGCTACACGTGTCGTAACGGCAAAGGAGAAGACGGCTCGGCAGGCGACGTCAAGACGGGACAGCGCTGAGCGGGAAGGGGACCCAGCTGTTCCGACACGTTGTGGGAAGACCAGCACTTGGTTAAGCGCAAAGAGAACAAACAGCGGTGCCTACACTTTTCTGCCACCAGCGCAAGGACGCGGTAAGCCAGCGGGCCGGACAAGAGGCGGTGACAGGGCGGCGGGCCCCCGGGGAGGCGGGCAGCTAGCTTTTCACCGCACGCTCTCCGGGATTTGTCACTGGTGAACGGCGTGCATCCGAAATAACAAAATGATAGACCAGGGGTAGCAATGGTGATGAAAACGTAGTAAACCCAGAGTAGGGCCCCCTGTGCTATATCGGACTCTCAGCACTGGACGAACACCGTGGGAGGCGCGCCCTGACTCGCCAGGGCCGCCAGGCTCCTGGTCGGATGGGGAGCCTCCCCCGGGGGCCTCCACCCAGGGCCCAGGGCGCCCGGCTGGCCCTCAGGCCCCCACCACGCGCCCTCCAGCCCCTTTACGCTCCGTTCTCGAAAGGCCACCGCGGAGGCTGGGCTCCCCCGGGGCACCGGCTGGCGGCCCCCCTCACTACCCAGGAGGCGGCTTCTGAGGGCAGCTGGTCCATGTCTGGCTCCACATTTGCATGCGCTCACCATGGCAACACGCAGGCCTCCTCTGGAAACCTCTCCTCTCCCTGCTCGAAACTACTCAAGAGCCTCTATTCAGGCCGACAATTAAAAGGCACTTATTAAATACCTTTCCCAAAGTTAACGCGTCTATAACGAGGAGCTGTTACAAGTGGACATTCAAAGCTGTGTCCCTGAGACGCATGCTAATTAGGTTAAACATTTGGCTGGAAGTAAACGGGCCGTGAGTCCGGGCACAAGGGGCACAGAAGTCACAGGGCTTGGGACACGGAGGCCGCGGCCACGTCCCAGCCGCTCTGCTCTCACGCTCTGTGGGCTCCGGCCGAGGCGGTGTCTGCTCCACGTGTAACAGCCAGAATGCGGGAACACTTAAAATAAAATGCCCTGTGAACTTCCAATTCCTAGAACCTCCTGGCAGGCTGAGGGGAGCAGGTGTTCTCGGCTGGAACCAGCAGGAGAGGAGGGAGGGGCTTCCTGGGAAGACAGGGTTTCCGGGCCCGTGCGGATGCTTCCTTTTGCTTCGCTGGTTTTCCGGGTGGGACTGGATCACCCGGTGCCTGATCTCCAGTTCTGGCCTTGCAGCCGGCGCGGGCTGGCGGTCAGGAGCCCAGTGAGCTCGACCGAGGGCCGCCCCGTCCCCTGAGACGTCGGCGTCGGGCGACTCCGTGCGCAGACCCCCACGGGCCGGGGGTGGCTGAGAGGCCAGCAGCGCTGAGGCACCTTCAAGGGGAGCCTCGGCCCCCCACCCGAGGCCAGAACTTAGCAAAAACTTGGGATAAACGATTTTCTAAGTGTAAGTGCATCTGATTCGGAGGGAGCGTGGGAGGTTGGGAGGTGGACGCTGTTCTCCCAGGATTCCAGGCTACGAGACACAGCTTGGTGAGAAAACGGGATCCTCGTCTTCCTACGGAGTTTAGAACCGTCCCGTGGACAGACCACAATTATACGGACGTGGCCATTCCACGGGCGAGTGACGTCCACTTACAGGCAACCAGCCTCGAAGCGCATCGCAGCACGGTCGCCACCGTGCGCCCGCCATCCCGGCTCGTGACTCTTGCGTTAGGAGGGGCCGGGTGCCACGCGGGAACCCCACGGGGGAGTGACACTCCCAGCTGTGCAGACTCACAGTGAAGACAGCCGCCCAGAAACGCAGACCCACGCAGAAAATCGCACAGGCGATGGCGCGTCCAACAGCTTGATCTCGCGTCAGTCAGCACACGGCCACGCGCGCGCCCTGACCACGGACAAAGGGGGCTGTGGCTGACCCCGTACTCACCCAGGTCTCCCTGACAGATGTCCGCGCGCCTGGCTCCATCAACGATAAAGTGAGGGCTGGCACACAGCTCCTGAAAGCGAGGGGACAAAACACGAGTCACTGGTCGTCCGGTGCCGGAAGGAGTGGAGGTCAGGGAGTGTCACGGTCAGGGCTCAGCCTGGGAGGAGCCCAGATCACCTGCCGAGGACTCTGCAGCCTGGAGGAGGGAGGAGGCGGCCGGGGTGCGGAGGGGGAAGGCGGCCAGGGTGCAGAGCGGAGATGCAGGGCAGGGAGGGACGAAAGGCAGTGGCCCCGGCAATAATGTGGTGACTCGTGAGCTCACCTCTCAGCACCCCCACCTACAGAGAGGCTTACAGAAGCGTTTCCTCGCCCCAACTAGTGCTGTGCACCCGCGGACGCTCATTAACCGCCTGACAGCGTGAAGGGGGCCCCTCGCACTGACCCAGGCGCTGGGGCGTGGGGTGTGACCCCAGGCGAGAGCTCGCGGTGATGCACCCACACACCCCAGCCGCACTCCCTGCGCTCACGCCCCTCCGCGGGGCATCCGCCTGGAGCTCCGGGCCCCACGAGGTGTCCTTCCTTCTGGTGTACCCACCCCCACCACGGGGCCGTCTGTCCTTCCTTCCGCTGAACCCCCCCACCACGGGGCCGGTGTACTCCCCCGAGCAGCTTGTCCAACTCGTCCGGGAGCCCACTCCGCGCACAGCTCGGCAGTCGGGCAAGAGGGCAAGGCAGGAGCAAAGGGAGAACCGGTCCTGAGACTCAAGGTGCTTCCGGCCTTTGCTCGGGAAACCAGGACTGACCCTCACGGAAGAGTCAGAGAAAAGCCGGGTGTAGGCCAAGTACGCTCGGGGGGAAAACGAGAAACACCCGAGAGGGGCTGTGTCTGGGACTCTCTGGGTGGGAGAGGATGCAGACTGTCCGAGGGGCTGACCACGACTCTGTCCCCAAGGGAGAGGTGGGTCTGCATTGCCCCCGGCAGACTGTCCAGGGTGAGGGTGGACCCTCAAGGAACAGAGATCCCTCTGTGACTGACCATGGGGAAATGGGGGGGGGGAGGGGAGTGCGTGAGTACTGCAGGGGAGGCAGGAGGTCACGGTAGATGCCGGCTTTCGATCACACGTGTCTTGTCCCATGCCAGCACGCGGGAGACTCACAACCTTCGGGCCAAGAACTGTGGGCGAGGTGGCTGGGGCCGCTGGCGGGCCTGGCAGCCTCTGTCCGGTCCCTCCTCGGCCACCCTCCGGGGCTGAGATGCCCTGGTGTCAGCCAAGCCAGGGGTTCTCAGAGCTGCAAATGCGATGCCACAGTGCTGGGGCTGCCTCCAGACCGTCAGCTCTTTAAGGAGCAGAAGGGATGATTTGGGAAAATGAAAAATTAAAAAGAGAGGATGTGCCGAGAAGAAAGACGGAGGACGACCGGCAGGGTCTCACAGAATCTCGCCCTTGAAAACCCTCCTGAGACCCTCCCAGGGTGCTTGCATGTCAGCCAGTTAAGCATCTGGACTCTCAGCCTCAGGTCATGATCTCAGGGCTCAGAGATTGAGCCCTTACCATTTCCTGTGCTGGGATGGGCAGATCCTGCTTGGGACCTGCCCCTCTCTGTGACCCCTCCCACACACTTTCTCTCTCAAAAATAAACATTTAAAAAAAACATACCTTGGGGTGCCTGGGTGGCTCAGCTCAAGCTGAGAGCATCCCAGGGCAGCTCAGGTCCTGTTCTGAGGTCCTGCGGGAGCCTGGAGTCCCAAGTCGAAGCCAACCCAAAACCCTGGTCCCCCAGCCACGGAGAGGGATGGCCATGTCTCCTGAAGGGCCAAGTCACAGTTCCTGTGACGTAAGCTCATGAGACTGAGATTCCAAGGCATCTTGCACTGCCCTTGCTAAGATCTTGCACTCGGTCCGGGAGACGGTGGTTTGCGAGACCTGGAGGTGGCGTATCCTGTCGTAGGAATGGCACCGCGTGGCCTACAGGCGGAGGAGACGTTGGTTTATCGCGGGCCGCCGGCCACTGACTCAGCCCACGCCTCGGAAACAGGAAACAAGAAACGCCACCATTCCGGGTTAAAAGGGACTCCTCAGCTCAAGCGAAAGCAGACTGCATCTCGGCTCAGAGCTGTGGCCGCAGCGCATTCCCAAAGTCTCCCCACGCGGCTTGTTGCCGGAACGCGGGCGGGAGATATCGAGGAACGCGCTGGTCTGGCGAACCCGAGAGGCACGCGTCCCCCCCTCCCCCTTCTCCGTAATGGTGTTAATGCCGCTGGGGCAGGAATCTCAACACACACATACGTTACTCCAGCCCGCATCAGCCTGTGGTGCAGGGCGCAGGGACCCCCGGGGACCCCTGAGGAGGCCAAGGCAGGAAGTGACTGGACGGCACACTCCAGGTGACGGTGACGGTGACAGCGGTGACGGGGAAACACAGCGCCCCGGGGCATCAGCCCACGTCTGACAGTTTCAGGAGCTCCGACCGTGGCTTCCAGAGCCCACGGTGCTGTCACCTCGGTCACCACCGCCAGGGTGGCGGCCTCATCACCTGCCTGGCGGTCCCACCCCTGCAGCCCACCCCCTTGACCTCCCAGCCTCACCTCTGTCTCCCAGAGCCTCCCTCTCTCCCGCACACCTGCGCAGCCCTGCTCTCTCCCAACCCCACCTTCCGACTCGAATGTCCGCAGTGATGAACCGTCCCGGACTCCACGGTCAGGTTAACGCCCCTGCCCTGGCCCCATGTGTTCCGTTCCTATTTGTACTTCGCCCTCTGACGTGAACCAGGGGGTGCTCCCAGCCCCGAGCGCCGCCGTGTTCAACCCACTCCCGCTCTCTCATCCAAGCCTCCGGATAACCCCGCCAGGTAAGTGATGTTATTACCCCTTTTACAGATGTCGAGACTGGGTCCCGGGGGGTCAGCATCTCACTCGTGGTCACAGGGCCAGGAAACGGCACCGAGGGGACCATAATCCCAATGTGCCTGGCGCCCAGACCCAGGCTCTCAGCCACACGCTGCCTGCTCCCCACTGGAGAAGGCTCGCGCAGGCTCCACACTGGCATCTGTGTGTGACCAGCGCTAATAGATGCGGCCAAATCCATTAGTCCAGAGACAGCAGAGGAGGGAGTGTGGCAGCCCCAAGGGGAGGCCCGGCTGCTCATCTGCACCCCAACCTCCCAAGAGCCACGCCCTCCACCCCTCCCCTGGGTCCTCACTATGCAGCAGGCATCACCTCCTCCCCCGGAGCATTTGGATCCACCAAATGCTCAACTGCCAACAAATGGGCGGAAAAGAACATCGTCAGCGGGGCCGCGCACGCCAGGCGTCCCTCAGGTGGGGGGCCCGGGCGCCGTGGGGACACGAGGGTGGACAGCGTGGGGAGGGCGGCGGGAGGCCCCGGGTCTCACACGGCCGCCGTTGTGTCTGTCGTCCGTGTCCAGCCCCAGCGGAGAAAATCTCACTCGGATCGTGAATAGCCAAAGCTTATCCTGAGCTTACAAGCTGGACCCTGAGATCTTCAATCTGGGCAAACTCGTCTTCCACCACCGAGACGAGAGCCCAAGCAGGCCTTCTGCTCAGCAGGGTAAAAATAGGCAAAAAAACAAAACAAAACAAAACAAAACAAAACAGGCAAAGACCCTGAAAGGGTCAGGATGCCAAATTTTATGATTTCAGGAAACATCTAAGTAGCCAGCATCATCTCCTGTCAAGAGGACCAAAGCATACGTGCATGTGTGTTCAGCCCACCCCATCCACGCGCCCCGCAGGACAGGTACAAGTTAACAGCTTGGTGCGAGGCAGGGGCGTTACAGCCACAGCCCGGCAGCTGGCGTGAAGTCCCTGGTACAAACAGAGTCAGGCATCACCCTCCAAAGCAGCGAGTGAAACCAAAAAGCCAATCACCCAACTTAAAAATGAGCAAATGACTTGAACAGACATTTCTCCAGGGAAGACATCCGGGTGGCCAACGGACACATGCAGAGACGCTCAGCGTCATCATCAGGGGAACACAAACCAAAACCACAGTGAGAGGCCACCCCGCGCACATTAGGACGGCCACTGTCAAAGAGCAGAAAACAGCAGGTGCTGGCGAGGACGCGGAGAAAGGGGAACCCGCGTGCGCCGCTGGTGGGAATACACAATGGCGCGGCCGCTCTGGAGAACAGCGTGGAAGTGCCTCAAAAAGTTAAAAATTGAACTACCCTACGACCCAGCAACTGCACTACTAGGTGTTTATCCAAAGAATACAAAAACACTAATTCAAAGGGATACAGGCACCCCGGTGTTTACCGCAGCATCACCTACAACAGCCAAGATACAGAAGCAACTCAAGTGTCCAGGAACCAATGAACGGATAAAGACGGCGTTGTATGCACACACAGTGGAATGTTACTCGGCCACGAGAAAGAAGGAAATCTTGCCATTTGCAACAACGCGGATGGAACTGGAGGGTATTATGCTGAGCGAAAGAAGTCGGGCAGAGAAAGACTGATGTCCCAGGACTTTACTCACATGTGAAATTTAAGAAACAAGAGATGAACATACAAGAAGGGAAGGAAAAATAAGATAAAAACCGAGAAGGAGGCAAACTCTAAGAGACTCTTAGATACAGAGAACAAACTGGGGGGTGCTGGAGGGGAGGTGGGTGGGGGGTTGGGCTAAATGGGTGATGGGCATTAAGGAGGACACTTGTTGGGGGGCGCCTGGGTGGTTCAGGTGGTTGAGCGTCCGACTTCAGCTCAGGTCATGATCTCACAGTCTGTGAGTTCGAGCCCCGCATCGGGCTCTGTGCTGACAGCTCAGAGCCTGGAGCCTGCTTCAGATTCTCTCTCCCTCTCTCTCTGCCTCTCCCCTGCTTGTGCTCTGTCTCTTTCTGTCTCAAAAACAAATAAACATTAAAAAAATTAATAAAACAAAAGGATAAAGAAACAAGGGGAGCCTGGGGGCTCAGTCGGTTAAGTGCCTGACTCTCGATATCAACTCAAGTCACGATCTCACAGTTCATGAGATCGAGCCCCACGTCGGGCTCCGCGCTGACAGTGTGGATCCTGCTTGGGAGCCTCTCCCTCCCTCTCTCTCTGCCTCTTCCCCCTCTCACTCTTTCTCTCTCTCTCTCTCAAAATAAATAAATAAACATTTTTAAAAAATAAACTAAAAAAAAAAATACATTTTACTTCCTTTAAAAAAATCAAAAACATTATTACCGTACGATCTGGAGGTTCCACGTCGGGGCATACACCCAAAAGAATTGAAAGCTGGGTCTCGAAGAGATACTTGAACACCCGTGTTCATAACGGCAGGACCCACGACAGCCAGAGGGTGGAAACAACCTGAACGTCCCTCGATTAGTGAATGAGTGAGAGAAGCATGGCGTCCGCCCCCAGTGGACTGGGGCTCAGCCTCCAGAAGGAAGGAAATTCTGACACCTGCTACCGCAGGGGTGACCCTGAGGACATCGGACCGAGTGAGATGAACCGGTCACGGAAGGACGAATACCGTGTGGTTCCACATACAGTGTTTAGTGAGGACAGAGGCCCCGTTTCACAAGCTGTTTGGGAGCCCATGGCGTGTTGGCAGTGCACGAGAGGGTAAGTGCTCGGCGGGCAAGCCTAGAGGCGGTTGGGACGGGAAGTTTTACGCTATGTGTATTTTACCACAAGTAGAAGCAAGAAAAGGAAGGAAGGAGAGAAGGGGGAAGGGGGCCCATCAGTGCAGCTCCGGTTGGGACGCCCCCATTCTTGCGGCCCCGAGGCATCCGGGGATGGGGCCCAGCCTCTTGGCCGGGCTGGTTTTCCCAGGTACCGGGGCAGGCGCCCGACGGAGGGAGGGTCAGGGCTGTTTCCAGCTTGGGAGCCTGTGTGACGTCGGTAGGGTCTCAGAGGATGTGTGACACCTCACGGTGTGTGAGCACAGCCTCGCGCAAACCCACGCGTCCGCTCTACAGCGACCGTGTTTACGTGGACAGTGAGACCCGGTGAAGACTCGGTTTTGGGCAGAGCAAAGTGGTCAGGGAGGTAGGAGCTTTGAGAATCTCAGATGAAGGAGAAAACCTTGGCAAAGGTTAACTGACCCGTGGCTTCGGTCACCCGGCGAAACCCCCGTCACCCCTGTTCACCCCTCCCCAGGCCCTTTGGGGTCCCCAGCCCCACTAGGCTGCCCGCTCTGGACACCCCGGGCCCCCTGGCTCACAGTTGACGTCCCTGTGCAGCGCCTCCATTGTCCCCGATTCACAGCTGGGACCACAGCTCCCTCCTCAGGGTCTCCCCGACCGCCTTCCCCGGGACGGAGCCCACGCCTGGCCCAAAACTCAGGCTGGACGACCTGTCCTTGGAAATGAAATGGCCGTCAACTCTCGAAATAAGAATCCAAAACCGATTCCCGGCCTCGATTTTGCCAACACCCCCGACTAGCCCCTCAGGTCTCGGGTGCGGAGGATGGGCCGGGTTGGCAGGAGCGAGTGGGGTGACGGGTTTCTCCAGGAGACCGTCCTGCAAACCGGGCAGGACGCAGACCCTGGGGCAGCAGGAGCCGGAACCGAAGGACGGTTCTGATCACGTCCACGGTGCTGTCCCTGCCTCGCGCTCCGTTCCCCACCCCTGCTGAGGAGACGGCTCCCACAGCTTGGCTTTCCCGTTGTGGGCGAGAACAGAAGCGCCTGGCGTAGGGCCACTGATCGTGGTCCCTTTATGTGCCAGACACGGCACGGAGCCCTGGTCTCGGCTCTCACCCTGCAGAGGGGCCCCCATCCTTCCGGTTGAGTCACCGGACAAGGGTCCCGGAGCAGGAGGTCACGGCTTGGGTTTGGGGAGGACGGTTCTGC